CCTTGACGGGGCCGTGAAAAGGGCCCCGCGCCGCCTCGCACCTTGACGGGGCGTGAGAAGGAACCCCGCGCCGCCCCGCACCATGACGGGGCCGTGAGAAGGAGCCCCGCGCCGCCCCGCACCATGACGGGGCCGTGAGAAGGAGCCCCGCGCCGCCCCGCCACTTGACGGGGCCGTGAGAAGGAGCCCCGCGCCGCCCCGCCCCTTGACGGGGCATGAGAAGGAGCCCCGCGCCGCCCCGCACCATGACGGGGCCGTGAGAAGGAGCCCCGCGCCGCCCCGCACCTTGACGGGGCCGTGAGAAGGAGCCCCGCGCCGCCCCGCCCCTTGACGGGGCGTGAGAAGGAGCCCCGCGCCGCCCCGCACCATGACGGGGCCGTGAGAAGGAGCCCCGCGCCGCCCCGCACCTTGACGGGGCCGTGAGAAGGAGCCCCGCGCCGCCCCGCCCCTTGACGGGGCGTGAGAAGGAGCCCCGCGCCGCCCCGCACCATGACGGGGCCGTGAGAAGGAGCCCCGCGCCGCCCCGCACCTTGACGGGGCCGTGAGAAGGAGCCCCGCGCCACCCCGCACCTTGACGGGGCCGTGAAAAGAGCCCCGCGCCGCCCCGCCCCTTGACGGGGCCGTGAGAAGGAGCCCCGCGCCGCCCCGCACCTTGATGACGCTGTGAGAAGGAAGCCGTCGAACAGGCTGGTGCAGAAGTCCTCCAGTGCGAACTCGTCCGCCAGCAGCGCCAAGTTCCCGGTGAGCAGGTGCAGGAAGATGTCCCCGAATGCCAGGTCCCCGAAGGTCTCCACTGCAAGGACAGACATGTCAGCGCCCCCTCCCTGCCCGGGACCTCCCGGCTCACAGAGAGGTGGAGGAATCAGCGCCGAGGGGTCGGCCCTGTTCTCAGGAGCTCCAGGCACCCGAGGGTGGGGCTCCAGCGGGGCAGAACACTGGGCTGACCGTGAGGGGGCGCACCAGGTGGAGGGTAAGTGGGGCAGCGGGGGTAGGGGGCCACACAGGAGAGGGGCCTGGGACTCCACAGAGTGCAGCCACAGCACAGGGTCAGGGCAGAGGGGTGAGCGGGGTCAGGGGGAGAGGAACAAGGGCTGGTCACACATGGCCTTGCCCAGTGGCCACTAAACTGACCCCAGAAGAAAGAAACCCTAAACAGACCACTAACTAGAAGAGAAACACAGAAAACGTCTACAGCACAGTGCAGAGTGAGTTCCACCACACCAGGACCTGGACTGTTCTAGAGCAACGAGAACAAAGGAGGAAGCCCACCTGACACCGACCAGGACAGAGAGACGGCAAGGTCACGGTCTGCGCACGCAGCCGCCAGAAGGCAGCGCTGCACGCGCGTGGCTGTCACTGTCACAAATGGGAAGCTGCTCAGGGCTCCGACGCTGTGGCCACCCCTCCCCCCGCCCGCGGCCACCCACCGAGGGATGCCAGGATGTGGCCACCCCGCACCCCGCGAACGATGGTCCACATAAGGCCCGCTGCTGAACGGGGGCATCCCAATGTCAGGTCGGCAGAGTGCCCAGCGCGTCGTAGGTCAAGCAGGACAAGCGTGGCCCCCGGGCTCCTTCCAGCCTTCCCTCTAACTGCCGCGTCCAGACGCTCAGGGACAGTGAGCGCACTCACTGCAGAAGGAAGCCACTAGCAAGTCCCAGCCAGGGACAAAAGCCCTGATTTCCTCAACAAAGTGAAACAGAAAACTCTGCCGATCATCAGAGGCCTGAGAGGCAAAGCCCACACGCGCGAGTGGGATGAAGGGCCCCTGTCGGCTCCCGATCTGAGCAAACCACCTGCACAGTTCGCCCAGCTCGAGAAGCATGACCACCACCTGGGAAGTTGGCGTTCGGGAACCGCAGGTCACGCCGCTGAGATGTGACGGCGAGCCCATGGTTTCATTTTTCAAGCATCCTTATTTTGTGGCAATGCCTGTGCTAAATTCTCCGCAGCTGACAGGTTACGCACCCAGGACTCGCTAGGAGGCAGCCACGTGTCGCGGTGGACGATCGGGAGGGACCCGGGGGGTTCATCAATGTCCACAGTAAAAAGTCAAAAAATAAAGCAAAGAGGATGGTGAGCAGGGCCTATGGGAACTCGGCACTTCTTGCTCAGTTTTTCCGTGTCTCTAAAGCTGCTCTGAAAACTAAAGCCGTAAATTCAAACCGCCAGCCTGGGAAGGTGGAAACCGGGGGAGCGTGCTAACGACAGCAGACGAGAACCACCAGAGGACTGTCAGCCCCACGGCCACTCTCAGCACAGGTCGACAGAACACGAGGTCTGCACCCAGCAGCCACCCATCAGGAACAAGTCTGGGGCCTGCCACCCCGGTTTCCAGGCAACCAATGAGATGAGAGGAAGAAACAAAAATACCAAAAGGAGCAGAAAGGAGGCGGCCTCCTGGACTCTCAGAAACCAAATGAATAACGGAACAGCCCTGTGGTCAGTAGGCTACCGGCGCAGATGGCAGCGTCCTCATCCCCGCTGTGCTGCCTGACATGGCCAAAGGGACCTGCAGGTGTGATCAGAAGGACCCTGAGACAGGAGACCCCCCACCCCTGGACCACCCGGGGGCCGCATGTGCTCATAAGGGTCCCTGTAAGGGAGGCGGGAGGGTCATGGGAAGGAGCCGTGAGGACGGAAGAAGTCTGAAGATGGAGGAGGGGGCTGTGACCAAGGAACACAGCGGCCTCTAGAAGGTGGAAAAGGCAAGAAACGGACCCTCTCTGGAGCCCCAGGAGGAGCCTGCCCACAGACACCTGGATTTAGCTCAGTGGGGCTGACGTGGGGCTCTGGCCCCAGGACTGCAGGAGAGCGTGAGTGTGGTTTTAAGCCACTGAGTTGGTGGTGATGTGCTCCTGCTGCAAAGAAAACTCATCCAAAGCTAGGAGGGTTCCGTTAGCTTGCGGCTGGACATACATGAACACCCACAGATCAACAGATAGCTTTCCTCACACCGAAAAGTCGAACACATAGCACATACGACATCACCAAAAACACCAACGGTCTAGAAATACAATCACAAGACACGTGCAAGATCCTACGACGAGACCCCGAGGAACTTGCATCCCCGAGGGCTGAGCCTAGGGCGCCGCAGCCTGTGAGTCCCCCCGCCACCTCGACTGGAAGCATCGCTGGGCGAAAGAGCTGGTCCGCAGACGGGGTGTGCCCAGGGCACGTGGGGAGGGAAAGCTGAAGACCCTCCCTCATGCCGTACTAAAACCCTTGGCGAGGACGAGGAACGGAGACACCAGCAGGCCCGGTAGTTGAGGCCGCGGATGCGGCGGCCGCTCTGGGGCAGGGGTGGTCCTGGCCGGGCCGTGGGGCGCTCACCCAGGCCGCTCCGGGGCAGGGCGGTCCCGGCCGTGGGGCGCTCACCCAGGCCGCTCCGGGGCAGGGCGGTCCCGGCCGTGGGGCGCTCACCCAGGCCGGGCAGCAGGCGCAGCAGTGCGCTCTTGTTCCTCTGCTTGGCGATGTGCAGCACGTAGTAGAGCCCCACCTCGCAGGCCATGCGCTGCTCCTGTAGAAACCTGGGGCGGGGGGCAGGCCGTCAGCACGGGACACTGCAGGAGCCACCCGCTCACAGGCCTGCGACACCTCCACGGGACACCCCTGCAGGACTGGCCAGACACGCTCCTCTGCCACGACCCCAAAGGGGGTGCATCCCACGGGCCTAGACACCCACTGCCGCATTGCCCACCAGGCCCGTACTTGGTAAAGCTTTCTGGCAGCGTGTCTGGGTAGGCGACAGGGGTCTTCTCTTCAGTAGGAAGCTTCTGGTCCACGTTGAAGGTGTGGTCATCCACCACGAAGGACATGAGCGTCGGCAGGAACCTGGTGATGAGCTCCACCTCCTGGGGAGGGGGCGTGAGATGAGCAGGCTGCCCGCTGGCCCTCGCCGAAGCCCCGCCCCCACGCCCCCTCCCACCTTCTGTGCACCTGTATCCCCCAGTGGCCAGCCGCTCGAGAGCCCACCCCAAGTGGGGAGCCTTGTCCAGGGCCGACGCTGCTGTGTATCCACACTCCCAACACCCCATGGGAGCACTGTCCCCAAGGGAAGGGGGGCCTTTGGTATGGAACTCTGGGAGGCTCTCGACCACCTGGGCCTGGCGCTGCCTGGGGAGGAGGGCCAGGGTACAGGGCTGGCCTCAAGCCTCCTACAGAGAAGGCAGGGAAAGAGGAGAGACGGCGCCCCCCAGCGAGTTACCATCTTGGGCTCCTTGAAGACCTGGCTGTCGATCATGTCCCAGGCGCCCTGCCCCAGGGACAGCAGCCTGAGCAGCAGGAGCAGGTCAGGGCTGTCCTGCGTGGGGAGGGACCAGGCTTGGCAGATGCTCCCCAGCTCCGCGCCTGCCTGAGCCCACCCTCCTCCGACCCTAGCGGAACCCAGTGGGGTCCAGCCAGGCTGTCGGTCTCCGTCCCAGGCTCCCCACATGCCCACCCAACACATGGTGAAAGCAGCTCCCCCAGGTGAGGTGTGCACTCACCTGGGCCAGGAGAACCTCCCACAGGGGAGGGGGCACCCTCCCCTGGGCAGGGCAGCGTGGTCCCCACCAGCTGTCCACATACAAGCATCCACCCAGCAGGGCCAGTGTGAGACCCAGCCCAGCGCTACCTGGTGGCCACCTGGTGTCACGGCCGCACTCACCCTGGGCAGCGTCTCCTGGCCCACCAGCTCCTGCAGGTGCCTGATGGTGCTCAGTGAAAGCGTGTTGATGGCGAAGGGGTCGCACAGGATCATGGACAAGTCCCTGGGAGGACAAAGTCCCAGCATGACCTCAGGGAGCCCGGCTGCCCTTCCCCCAGGGGATGGCCTCCCTCCAGACTGAGTAGCCAACCGCATTCTGGATTCTTTCAAAAACAACCTTCAAGGCCCATCACCTGTCTCATCTTAGTCAAAAATCTTTGGAAAAAACAAAGAGCTTGTACATCCATAAAAAGCTGAAAAAACATTAGAGTCACGTTTTGGTTCTGAGAACCTGACCAGATCCCCTCACCCAGAAGTGCCCCCCCAGAGACAACATGACAAAGGAAGAGAAACCAAGACGGGCCTTGTACCTGGCCGCACCAGCAGACGAAGCCACCCCCCTGTAAGCAAGGACACCGGGCCCGAGCCTGCCAACCCCAGGCACAGGAACCACCCACCCTACCAGCCCCAGGGGGCTCTACAAGAGCCCGTCCCAGGCCGTCACACCGCCACACTGGGGGTCCGGGAGTGTGGCGGTGGGCAGCCCCATGCCCTGGCCGGGCCCTCACCCCAGCACTTGCTCTTGCCCCTTCTTCACGCCGTCAAGGAAGCCCTGCAGCTCCCGTGCCCGCTTGCTGTCCACAAACCGCTCCCGGATGCAGGCGTCCAGGCACCAGGTGAACTGCAGGGGGAGCGCGGTCAGCACACAGCCATGCCCCGCAGAGAGGGCCAGACCCTCGGCCAAGGGCCACCAAGAATGGCTACAGGCCGCGGCCCCCCCAGACGGCGCCCCTCACTCAGGCATAACCGACCCCAGGAGGGGTCCTGCCTCGCGCTCAGTGCCACGTCGGGGACGAGGCCCTGCAAGAAACCCCGTTCCTTGAACTCTGGCACCTTGCCAGTGAGCAGCGCTGACGTCTCTAGGAGGGCAGGGATGGCTCAGAGAGACATCTGGGGCAGATGCACCCACTGTAGCAGGAGCAACACGGAGGGGCCGCCGGGGAGGGGGAGCCGGGGAGGGGGAGCCGGGGACGGGGAGCCAGGGCGGCAGCCAGGCCTCAGGCTCGGGCTCGGGCTCAGGTGCAGGTGCCAAGCTGGGGTCCCCAGAGGCGCAGACGCGTGCGGTGGTGAGCCCGAGGTCCCAGCGGGCGGCCTACCTTGTGGCAGGGGTCCACAGTGCAGATGTCGCTGATGTCTAGGTCGTGCAGGGACATGAGCAGCTCGGCCCTCAGCGTGCAGTAGTGCACGTTGCGTGTGCGCAGGAAGAGTGTGCGCAGGAACTGCAGCACCATGTCATACAGCTTCACGTTCTTCCCCACCATCTGCGTCAGCTTCTGCACCACCTGCGCCAGACGGGCCGTCACGCCAGGGCCCGCGCCAGGTCTACAGGACGGCAGAGCGCCGACGCCGCGGACGCTCGGTTACCGGAGAGGGAGGTGGGGCGCCAGGTCTACAGGACGGCACAGCGCCGACGCCGCGGACGCTCGGTTACCAGGGAGGGAGGTGGGGCGCCAGGTCTACAGGACGGCAGAGCGCCGACGCCGCGGACGCTCGGTTACCAGAGAGGGAGGTGGGGAGAAAAAGCTTACCAAGGCTCTAACCCACTAATAAACATAACACGCTGGGATGGGGACAGCGCCCTCCAGCGGGCACTGCCCAATGGGAACGAGCCACTTACGGTGCAAGCATTTGAAACGTGTGGCAACTGAGATGGGCCATGAGTACAAAAGACACGCTTAAGACAAAAAGATGTATCTCGTTATCGGTGTTTATGTGGATTACGTGTTTAACTTATGATATTGTGGACACGCTCAGTTAAATAAAACATATTAAAATGCGTCTCATCTATTTCTTTTAACACAGTTACCAGAAAGTTTTATGTTATTTATGCAACTTGCTTTATCTTTCTACTGAACCTGCCAAAAAAAACCAAACCCACTGCCATCAAGTCAGTTCCAACCCAGAGTGACAACCCAGAGTGACCCTGAAGGACAGAGCAGAACTGCCCCATAGGGTTTCCAAGGAGCTGCCGACCTTTTGGTTAGCAGTGAACGCTTAACCACTGTGCCACCAGGGTTCCTTCTACTGGACAGAGCTGGTCTAAAGTCAGCCAATCGAGAAATCATGATATACAAAGAAATACAGTTACTTCACATTTGAGTTCAGAGGGACGTAAACCTTATTAACAGGTAGAGCCTTAAGACGACTGTTTTCTAAAGCACAAGAAAATGAAAAAAAAATTCACACTGTAAACGGGTTAATTAACGTACTACTTAGAGATGTGACGTTAAGAACCAAAAAGAAGTTGCCTTTTAAAGATGGCAAATGGGGGGGCTGCCACTCTTCATTAAGGCGCTTCCGCAGATCTGAACCTCGCCCACCCCGGTTAACCTTGCTCAGGTGCTTTGTCAAAAAGCGAAACGCCTGCAAACGTGAAACGCAACAGGCGAAAACATGGCATCAAGAGAGACAACGGGCGGAGCCCCCCTCACCAGCGGCAGCCCGCCTTCAAGAATAAGAACCCCTGCGCCCTGCACCCCCACTGCCCAGCCTCACCTGACCCTGGCGTCTCGTCTTCGGTGAGGGGCTGAAGAAGTTGTGCAGGACGGACAGCTCGGTGCTGAAGAGCGCAGCCTCCTTCTCCAGGATGTACTGCTTCAGCAGCGGGGAGACCTCGTCCCCAAAGAGTGCCTGGTTGTCCTGCCAGATCTGCCGCTTCACCTCCACAGCGCAGGCTCGGTACAGCTCTTTGTCGGCCATCACTAGCTTCAGCTTCTTCTCAGGAACCTGCGGGAGGGCCACTGTCAGCCGTGCCTGTGCCCCGGGGTCTGTCTCCACACAAGTCAAGAGGCCACGGACCCTACAGCAGACACCTCTACCAGCCCAGCTCCCTCCAGGGGAAGTCGGCACCTGTGACTGGTCCCCAGGTGGCTCCGAGGTCAAGGCAGGTGCCAAACTAAACCAAACCTGTTGCTGTCAAGTAGATTCTGACTCATGGTGACCCCATGTGTGCCAGAATAGAACTGCTCCATAAGGTTTTCTTGGCTGTAATCTTTATGGAAACAGATTGCCAGGACTTTCTTCTGCAGTGCTGGAGGGTGGGTTCAAACCGCCAACCTTTCAGTTAGCAGCTGAGCACAAACCGCTTGTGCTACCCAGTCTCCTGAGACAGTTTCAGCCATGCTGAATATGAAGGTGCCCTCCACCTCAACTCAAATGCCCAGGCTGCATCTCGGTGAGGCTCTCCAGGTGGAGCAAGCACAGAATGCACCCGGAGCAGCACCCGCCTGGGGCAGGCAGCTTGTCAGACCTCCCTGGAACGAAGCTGACTACTGGGCCAAGCGCACATTCTGAATTTGCGCTGCACTGTGTGGCACTGCTGGCTCTTACCTTGGGCAAGTGTTTCATGACACACATCACCACAGGCTGCAGGGATGGCATTTTCACCAGAGAGAAGCTCTTCTCCAGCAGGTCTTCCAGCTTCTTGTACCTGGAAAGACTTGCACGGTTGACCAAGTCAGAAGAGGCTGCCTGCCTGTCCCCAGACTCATGGCGACTAACACAGCACCAGGCCAGCCTAACAAGCCAAGGGGCGTTCCAAGGTTGAGAAGCAACTGCACAGTCGCCTGCCCACAGGTCTGCGGTGGAGACCCACCTTTCCTCAGCCTTCCCCTCTGAGGCGATGGCGGACACTCTCTCCAGCAGCTTGTCCCGCAGCTCGTCGAACACCGACTGGTGGAACTCCAGCCGAGGCGTCCCATGCAGGTCCAGGAAGGGCAGGGCAGACTGCAAAGACGGCAGGAGCACGCCATTCTCGGTCTGAGGGGAAGAGAGGGGTCGATTTCAGCTGCAGCCAAGTCTGAGCACACGGGAGGCACGTTTAAGGGTGTTCCCAGCAGCTGTAACAGCTGGAAGCCACGCAAACGTCCATCAATTAGACACTAGTGCAGACCAATCTGGTACATCCTAATACGGCTAACGGAGGAAAGAGATGAAAATTTCAACTTCCCCAGCAGGTCAGCTCACCCGCCAGACTCGCCCGGACGCCCGGCCTTCACACCGAGCCCCCAACCCACCGCCGGCGGCCCCGCCCACCTGGAACTGCTCAATGGCCTTGAGCGGCTCGGTGCAGTTGGTCAGCGTCTCCTTCAAGTCCTCGCCGTTGGCCACGCCCAGGTCCTGCAGCCCCGCGAACATGGCCGAGGCCCCGGCCCCCGTGCGGCTCTGCGCCCCATCCCCGGCCCGTTCCCCCAGCGCCGCCGCGGACGCCGCAGGCCCTGCAGACGCCCGCTCCCCCGAGCCTCGGGGCCCGCCCGCGCTCCGCTCCCCTGCGCCCTCCAGCTCGGCCGGCTCCGGTCGCACCACGGCTCCGCACGGGATCCTGCAGCCACCCGCTTGCGCCCCGCAGAGCCTCGGTCCGCCCGCCGGCCGGCCCCCGGGAAACACAGCCGCCACCGCCGCGCAGAGGTTCCTGGGAGCGGCACCCGCACTTCGCGCGAAGATGAGCGACGGCGGAGAAGAGGCGGGCGCCGGGATGACGCATGGGTCCCGTCGACTTGGCCCCGCCCCACCTTGTTCAAGTCCCGCCCCCGAAGGCTAGACCGCGCCCCCACGGCCCCGCCGGGTCACTCCTCTCGCAGGCTCTTCCCTACCGACTCTCCGGGCCCGCCCCCGTCGGCGCGACCCCGCCCCCGCCTTCACGGCCCCGCCCCCACGGCCCCGCAGGGCCCCGCCCCCGCAGGCGCGGCCACCCCCCCCACCCCCCCGAACCCCCCCCCCAACCCCAGCGCCCAGCCGCCGCTCTCCGCATCTGTTGCTAAAAAGCTTCTCGCTCCCCTGTCTCCCCGCCCCGCGGCGCTCGCGGCCTCCGGCCTGGTCCCGCCTGTCCCAGCAGGGACCGAAGAACCCCTCCCCCAAGAAGCGCCGTGGCGGGCGGGGGGAGGGGAGGGCCGAAGGTGCCGGGATGAAGGACTTCCGCGTCCTCCTTTGTCTTTCAGAACGGACCGTTTTAGCCAAGTATATTTATTTTTATCATCGCAAAGAAACCTACCGCTGACCTCACAGCAGGCTTTGACGTGGAGGAAGTGGAGTCCTGCCGCCTGGAAGCTCTCACTTTCACCTGCAGGGGCACGGGTCGGGGGCGCTCACACTCCCGCTAAGACGGGGACGTGCCCACGCCACGGGGGGAGTAGGGGGCAGCAGAGGCCTCGGCACATAGTGGGCGCCGCGAGTCGGGGCCGACCTTGGCGTCGCGGTGAGGTCTAACGCCCGCTAACCTCAGCGTGGCGCACTCCTGGCTGATTCCCAGCGACCTGCGAACGCAGGTCCCGGCCCCTCGGGGCCCCTTGCGGCCCTGGTCGTTGCTCAGCGTGCGAACTCCTCACCACACCGCGCGGCCCTTCCACTCTTCGTCTAGCCCGCACGCCACCCTGCAGACATCCGCCCTTCCTCTTTTCACCGGGCTTTCCGTCTGAGGTTTCCTATACTAGAAATTCCCTTCCTGCAAACTCTTGCTCATTCGTGAAAGCCGGTTCTTCTGTCATCTCCTCTGGGAAGCCCTCCCTCCACAGCCCAGCTAGAGGGGATTGCTCCATCCTTGATGCTGTTCCACTTCTGGTTTGGGGCCCCAGGGGGCACTTGGGGTGCACCTGTGAGCAGGACTTCTGTCCCCCACCCACTGGCTGAACCACTGCTGTGCTTCCTGGGGTACTGGGAAAACTGGTCCCACCCAGAGATGAACACAGGTGCCTGGCGCTCAGGCTCCCTAGGCCGTGGCCTCCTCCCTGCAAAGTGGGTGATGGCGGCTGATGCCATGGGAGCAGCTGTTAACAGGCAGTTTCGTAGGGGTCAAGCTCCCACAGAGGGGACTGTGTGGCTCTGGGGAAGGGACTGGGTCCGGGGCTGGGGGCAGGCACAGGGGGACTCCTGGAGGGATTGCAGCCAGCCACAGAAGCATTGTCAGCTGCAGGTGAGTGGCCAGGGTGGTGGTCTTGGGGACTGACCCCGGGAAGGAGGGCAGGCCAGTGGCTCATGAGGACCAGGCTCTGCTATGGGCCTAGAGCTGAGGGGAGGTGGCAGGCCCTAACAAGGTGCACACACATGTGCCTCCTGCCCGCCAGCCCAGCCAGCCTGAATTGATTGGCCTCGGCTTGGCCTGCAAGGTGCTGGCCCAGAGTTCTCAGGGAACAGGTGACCCATTGGGTTGGGCCTCTGGGCCTGGGGCAGCAGGGCGGACCCAGAAGAACTGGGCCCCTGGGCCCGCCACAACAGCTGGATGGCTGGCCTCGCTTCAGCCCCAGCACTTGGGTCCTTGCTCAGCAAGTAGCCTGGCCCCCGGGGTTGACTGGTGGCCAGACCAGTCCCTGGGTGCCACCCCATGGGACAGTCAAGGGGCAAGCCCTGGCCCAGGGCACCATCCATGACAATGAGGCAGCGCATGGAGGAGTGGACAGCGGGCACACAACAGACGCCAGAGGAAGCGACAGCATCTCTGTGTAACAGGGGGTGGGCCGGGGGGGGCTGTGGGCTGTGGGCTGTAATCTCTCGTCCATGGCCTCAGAAGGGTGGTCTGGGCTTCCCAGAGGGTCAGAAGGCCAGACTAGAAGGCTGAGTTCCAGAGGGCGGCCTGAGAAGGCCCCAGGGGAAGCCAGGGTGCCACTTGATGGCCAGGCCAGCTCTGACTTGTGGCTCTAGAGCGTGCTGAAGGGGCCCGTGTCATGGCGCTTGGGTCTCCGCATGCCTTGGATGACCACTCCAGGCGTCGAGGGAAAGCGCGAGTTGTAGCAGTCCTCCACATAGTAGGTGGCTGGGCCAGGGGTGCTCGCTGTAGAGAGAGGAGGTGGGGAGCCCCACCCTGGCTCCAGCCCCCGGCCCCTGGGCCTTGTCCCTAGCCCCTGCCCCCCACCCATCCCACTCTGGACCAGCTCCCGGCCCCGCCTCCGGGACCCCAGCCCTGTCCCCGGCTCTGCCCCCCACAGCTCCTGCCCCTCCCCAGCCCTGGCTTCCGGGCCTCCTTACAGGTGCTGACCCAAGAGACGAAGGCAGGTGAGCGGCTCATAGAAAAGGTGGGCGACCGCGGGCTCCGCAGGACAGACCCAGGCAGGATGTTGTAGGTGTTGGGGCTGGGCCGCTTCTCGCCCTGGGGGTGCAAAGAAGCCTGTAGAGGGGCCTGGGCCCAAGGGCTTGGTCCCCAGGCCCTGGATGCACAGGCATGGCCCTCAGGGGTCTTGGAGGTTGGGCAGCGGGTGCTGAGTCTGAAGGCAGGCCCAATGGGGGGCTGGTAGTCAGGGGGTGATGGCCACTATGGGAAGGCCAGACACTGCTAAGGCCCCTTCCCGGGACCCCCTCCCCGGGACCTCCTCCCCGGGCATCCTCCCCGGGGCCCCCTCCCCGCCCGCCCTCCCCGATCTGCTTGGGTATCCCCCCTGGACCTCTCTGCCCATCCTCCTATGAGGTATGTTCCCCACCTGTCCCCCATGGGCCCCTTGCCCAGAAGGTACGCTCACCTTTTGCTCTCGGTTGAAGTCAGCTTTCTGCATGAAGGGGTTTTCACTCTGGAGCCATGTGGTCTGCCAAGCCCTGCGGCTGCCGCCCTCTGCACAGGGAGGCAGGGTGGTTGGTGGGAAGGTGGAGCTGGGGTGGACAGTGGGCAGGGTGGGACAGGCAGGGGGGACAGAGGCAGTGTGTGAGGCCAGGCCCCACTCCCAGGCGAGGGGACCCAGGGAGTGGCGTGGGGCGGGCACGAGGGATGGGGTCCCAGGGACACATACCGCGGGCAGGGGGCTTGCGGCCCATGGTGTAGTGGGGATGGGGGGAGGACTCGCGTACAGACGCGTCTGGCACCGGATACTTGGTGGGGCCAGGGACCTCCAGGTCGGTCAGGATAGGGGGGCGCTGCTCCAGCACTGGCCACAGGAAGCAAACTCTGGGCCAGGGTCCTCCCAGCAGGCCCCTCACCCTCCCCACTCCCCGGGAACAGACTGGGGCGCCTCTGACAGACGGGGGGGCCAGGACCCTCACTTACACATCTCCCTCAGGGTGCAGGTACAAATGGGCAGGAGGTCCTGGGGGGTGCCCATGTGCAATCTAAGGCCTGCTGGGAGATCCTGGGCCCCCGGGGGCCATGCCTTGTCCCAGGCCATCCCAGACTCCTGGCCCACCAACAGCACAAAAGCCTTGGGCCTGCAAGGGAGACGGGCAGCCACCGTCCAGCCCTGCCTGCCAGCCACCCGCATCCCAGGCCGCCCCCATCCTAGGCTGCCACCCCATCACAGGCCGCCCCTATCCCAGGCCGCCCCCGTCCTAGGCTGCCATCCCAGCCCAGGCTGCCATCCCAGCCCAGGCCGCCATCCCATCCCAGGCCGCCATCCCGGCCCACCCGTCCGCCATTGGGAGTTACTGGCTGGGTGCTGGCGCCTTCTGCCCCAGCGGGCCATGGGTCCAGTGTTTGCCTCCATTGATGTAAAAGTTTGCCAAGAATTTCACGGTCTTCTGGTCAAAATTCATGGCTGGCTCTCTGGCTCCCTGCCCCTTGGTGCAGCTGCAGGGCTCTGTGACCTCACTGCCGGGTCGCAGGGCTCCTCTGTTGCCAGGGCCTTCCTGGGGAAGGAGCATTGTCCAGCCCTGGAAGGGCCACCAGGCTCTCAGCTGAGCCCTGGGGAGAGGGCAGCCAGTGAGCCTTGCCCCCGACCTGCCCAGCTGTGCCCTCCCCGACCTGCCGGCTGGGCTCCCCTGGGCGTGACTGTGTCCCTCCCATCCAGCCCAGGCCTGCTGGCACCTGGAGGCCCTCTAGACTGGTGGACAGATGGATGGAGACATGTTTGAGGAGACACAAGTTTACCTGGGGCAAGGGGTCCCCAGACTGCTGCGGGCCCTCCGTGGGTCGGGGCGTCTTTGAGAATGTAGTGACAGTGGCTGCAAACGTGGCTGTGCTGTGTCCTTTGTTGACAAAGCCCCCGTCACTGGATGCCGAGGCTGGCTCCAATCGCTCTCAGTAACGTTGCTGTGGTGAGTGGCACTGACGTCTGTCTTTAGCTCAATATCCAACTACTCTCTTAGGACCAAGTCCTCAGAGTGGATGGAATGGGCCAAAGTGTGTAAATTACTTGGTCTGTTCTGCCAAACTGCTTTCCGGAAAGCGTCTACCAAATTACAGGTTACTCTCACGGTGATCCTGCCAGCCACGAGCCAGCATTAGAAACCGCTGTTATCAGCACCGAATCAGCATCCATTTGATGACTAAGGGTCAGTCTTGTGTCTATTTTTTTCTTAAAATATTTATGCACTCTTTTAGCAAGGTATAACTTTTCATATTTTTCGTTTTGTAAAAGCTTTTCATATTGATATTGTATCTTTCACACTTTTTCTCCAAGTTTGTGGTTTGCTGTTTGGTATTGTTTATGATAGCTTTCGACGTGTCCTGGAACCTACTCATTTTTTCTTTTGTGATTCCTTCTTTGTATGGTTAGAAAGTCCTTCCTGTACAAAATACTGGAGTCCCTGGGTAGTGCGAACATTAAGCACTTGGCGCCAACCTTCTGGAGGTTCGAATCCACCCAGAGGTGCCTCGGAAGACAGGCCTGGTGATCTGCTTCTGAAAGGTCACAGCCCTGAAAACTCTGTGGAGCGGTTCTCTGCACACACGGGGTCACTGTGAGTCAGATTCTACTAGACAGCAGCTGGTCGATACAAAAGCCAGGATGTGTTGAGGGTGGAAGCTTGGAAACCCTAGACCTGAATGAGGCTTTCTACCGTAGCCCTTCGGCTGCGACAGACAGCTGGGGGAGGGGACAGCTAGAGCCCATCCACCCCTTCCCCACGGACCTACTTGTTCTATGACCGTAGTCCCTGTTTCTGAGCTCTGAGGCTCAGTGAGATGGGAGCTCCCTCCCAGGCCCACCCACCCTGAGCCCAGGTGCTCTGCTTTGCTCGGGCCTCGGTGTCCCATGGGCAGAAGGGAGCACTCCCAGGGTGACCATGTGGCCTGGCCCAGGTGGTGCCCAACAATGCTGGGCCTCTTCACAATGGTTGCCCAGCAACAGGGACTCCTCCCAGGGGAGGGGACCAGACACAGGAGAAAGGGGCTGGAGCTGGGAAGGGCGGCGTAGAGGCAAAATGACGGAGACCCAGAAACACAACCTCTTCACACCGGAACCTCACTATATCCCTGGGTAAGCGCCAGCATGCCGGCGGGAGGCTGTGGCCAGCTGCCGGGGGCTCCAGAGCTGGGAGAGGTGGGAGGCCTGGGACAGAGAGCCCTCCGGAGAGGGGGCCTCCGGGGGCCCAGGCCTCCCCTGCCCTTGGCCCCGGCCACAGGCTTCATGCCGGGGAACACTGTGTGTGTAAAGAGCAGGAAACGGGCAACCAGCAGCCAGCCGGGTGCTGGACACACACTCCTTGCCATGCCCCGTTTTTTTCAAAGATGAGGTCAGCACCCGGAATACACGGTGTAGGCGGATCGGTGCAAACGCCAGCCACTCACTGGGTGTCTCCCCGCGTGTGAAAACTAAGACAGCCCTTCCCAGTAGTGTGTGCACGTGTGTGCTTGCGTGCACCGAAATACACACACAGATACCCGTGAAAAAGGAAGAAGGCCGGGAAGGAACCAGACCTAACTTTTTTTAGGTTTTGAAATTCATTTGCCTAGAAGTCTGAAAAGTAGTCCATGATTGTTTTTAACCATTGTTTATCACTGTTTCACAGCCGCAACCAGAAACTCTGTCCCCATTAAGCTATAGCTGCCCACTCCTTCCTCCCCGGCCCCTGCTCATCATGAACCTACCTCCTGGCTGTATGCATTTGCCTGTTTTTGTCTATTGTAGATATTGTTGGGAGGGAAGAGGAGAGGCTGGAGGAGGGCTGGGTACAGGGAGCATGGGTACCCACGGGTGGTGGTGGGCCACCGTGTAAGGTGGATGCCACTGCACTCCTCGTCTTACAGGTGAGGGGAGGTCAGGTAACTTGCTGCAGGTCGAGCAGCCGAAAGTGGTGGGCAGGCTGGATCTGTGCCCCCGCCCCACACCCACAGCCCTGCCTCCTCCTCTTCTTCCCTCCGCAGCTATGCCGGCTTCTACCCACAGCTCCGATACCAAGTGGGGAACACCTATGGGCGCACCACGGCCCAGCTGCTCACGGACCCCAGTGTGCAGAAGAGCCCCTGCTCCGTGCTGTCCCCCATGTCCAGGCCCAAGTTCATTGAGGACTTCAGCAAGCCCAAGCCGCCCTTGGTTCCCTGCCGAGACCTGACCCAGCCCTATATCCCACACTACACCGGTGAGCACCGCCCGTAGCCCGTCACCCGCAGCCCGTCGCCCGCCCACGCGGCCCGCCCGCTTTGCTCACCTGCTGCTGCCTGTGCAGGTCTCAAGCCCTACAAGAACCTGGAGATCGTCGGCCAGTTTCCACCCCAGGAGGCGGATGCCCAGGGGCTGCTGGGGGCAGAGAACGTGTCGAGGCAGGTGCCACTGCCTGCAGGCTTCATGCCTTACCCTCCCTACCCACTGTGCCCGCCGGGCAGAAAGGGGGACTCCAGGGACTTGGGACACCCAGGTCTGAGGCTGGCGTTCGGAGAGGAGGGCTGGAGGAGCCCCCAGCCTGTCCATGAGGCCCCGGAGCGGTACCAGGTAACCGGGAGACTTGGCGGGGGGGACTGAGCCTCACCCCCGACCCAGACCCAGGTAGGGTCTCAGGTCACTTGGTCCTCCCCTCCCCAGCTGTACCACTGCCGGAGGAATGAATACCCGCCCCTGCCCCACCAGTCAGAGACACTGGATGTGGGCAGGTATGAGAGGCTGCCTCAGCTGGACCACCCCAACCTGATCCAACGCAAGGCTATCTCAGGTGGGTGCCGCGTGGGAGTGGGGTGGGGCGTTCTCTTGGGGGCCCAGGGGAGGATGAGGGCGGCGAGGAAGGCTGTCATCTCCCTGCCTCAGGCCTCCTGCCTGTTCCAATTCTGGTCCCAGGGAGCAGTCGCCAGCGTTTAGGGAAGAAAAAGAACCACAGCCAGCTTCCTGGACTCATGCAGGGATGGGTCTGCACCCAGGAAGGCGAAGGGTACCTGGGGGTAGACCCTGCATCTTCCCTCCCTGCAGGCTACGCTGGCTTCGTGCCCCGGTTCGCCTGGGTGATGGGGATCAATTACCGCGATGGGGTCACACAGGCTATGGATGAGTTTGACAAGAGCCAGGTATAGCTGGTGTCCCAGCTCAGCCGTGCAGTGCAGCCCCCACATCACAAGCTCCTGAGTGGCAGGGGCCGGGAGGGCTCGGCCACCTTCCCCTGCTTCCTAGGAGAGGCCTGGGGAGGGGGCCCCACCCAGCCTAGGGCCGGCCTGTCACGGAGGCCGCCTTGCCCTTCCTGTTCCCCAGTACGGCCCCCCACCCTGCTCCTTGCCCTTGGGACAAGGTCTGGCTCCCTGCTATAGTAACGTGCTTGTGTTGGGGTAGACAGTAGAGCCCCTGGGCCGTTCAGCATTCCCTGAGAGGGCAGCCTTCTGGGGCAGGCCAGCCCCCCACCCCCATGACTCGTGGGGCTGAGGCTGGGGCGGCAGCGCATCAGCTCCTGCCTCTATCCCCAGTTCTTGTTCAGGAACCCCATCTGTGCCCTGGGCGAGAGGCTGCCCAGAACACACTGGCCCAGCAACAGCATCTACAACAGCCGAGGCCTGATCCCCTTCTACATGGGATTTATACCATGTGAGTACACAGGGGTTGGCGTGTCAGGACACAAGACGTTTGCCACAGGCTCTCAGGCGGCTGCACCTGGGGAGGGGGTGGTTGACTGGGCCCACCCACCACCGCCCCCTACCCCAGCACGGACCAGGATTGCAGACCCCTCACGCTGGAGTCTTTGGGACCAAGGTCTTTCTCACACCGGGGCTGGGCTCTCCTTGAGGAAGCAAGCTTCTCCACCAGCCAGGGAACCCCCCCCCAAGGGAGCCCGGCCAGGTGACCAGGGCTTAGCTGCACCTGTCCCCCCACCCAGCCGCTCAAGACAACTACGCGCTGACATTTGGCAACAGCACTCGGAAGGCCTATCAGAAGGAAATGGAGAGGCGGAGGTCCACGCTATGAAAATGCTTTAATGGACGTGTCTGTACAGCATGTGACGCAAGACAGAAGAACAGCAAGTGAGACAGTGAGACACGGATATCCAAACAGGTGGAGTGAATAAAGAGTTCACCCGCTTCCCCGCTAGCAGATGGCCCTAGGCCACCTCCTCCTCCGCCTCCTCCTCAAACTCGCCCTCCTCCTCGGCCGTGGCGTCCTGGTACTGCTGGTACTCGGACACCAGGTCGTTCATGTTGCTCTCGGCCTCGGTGAACTCCATCTCGTCCATGCCCTCGCCCGTGTACCAATGCAGGAAGGCCTTGCGCCGGAACATGGCCGTGAACTGCTCCGAGATGCGCTTGAACAGCTCCTGGATGGCCGTGCTGTTGCCGATGAAGGTGGCGGACATTTTTAGCCCCCGGGGTGGGATGTCACAGACAGCAGTTTTCACGTTGTTGGGGATCCACTCGACAAAATAGCTGCTGTTCTTGTTCTGCACGTTGAGCATCTGCTCGTCCACCTCCTTCATGGACATGCGGCCCCTGAACACAGCTGCCACCGTCAGGTAGCGGCCGTGGCGGGGGTCACAGGCGGCCATCATGTTCTTGGCATCAAACATCTGCTGGGTGAGCTCGGGCACGGTCAGGGCCCGGTACTGCTGGCTGCCTCGGCTGGTCAGCGGGGCAAAGCCAGGCATGAAGAAATGTAGGCGGGGAAAGGGCACCATGTTCACAGCCAGCTTCCGCAGGTCAGCATTGAGCTGGCCTGGGAAGCGCAGGCAGGTGGTGACCCCACTCATGGTAGCCGACACCAGGTGGTTCAGGTCACCATAGGTGGGCGTGGTCAGCTTTAGGGTTCTGAAGCAGATGTCGTAGAGGGCTTCGTTATCAATGCAGTAGGTCTCATCTGTGTTCTCTACGAGCTGGTGGACTGAGAGAGTGGCATTGTAGGGCTCCACCACCGTGTCTGAGACCTTGGGCGAGGGCACCACACTGAATGTGTTCATGATCCTGTCAGGGTACTCCTCTCGGATCTTGCTGATGAGGAGGGTGCCCATCCCAGACCCAGTCCCCCCACCCAGGGAGTGGGTCAGCTGGAAGCCCTGTAGGCAGTCACAACTCTCAGCCTCCTTCCTCACGACATCCAGCACCGAGTCGACCAGCTCCGCGCCTTCTGTGTAGTGCCCTTTGGCCCAGTTGTTCCCAGCACCGCTCTGACCTGCAAGAGAAAACAGCCGCTGGTCACTCTGGGCCAAACATGCAGCCACCAGCGGTCACCTCCACCCACGACAGAACAGCCAGATGACGTGGCGTGAGGTGGCACAGAGTTCACCCTGTGGGCAGAGCAGACAGGCCCCCAAACCCGTAAGACCAAACGCTGCCCGGTTAAAAATTAAATTAAGAACCAAAGTTGACACAGCTTAACAATAAACCAGCCCCTCCCATGGGCAGCCCTGCCAATTCCCAAGGACAAGCTTCCTCCAGGGAGATGACATCTGCCAGCTCCTTCCCCGCAGACAGCTGGGCCTTTCTCCTAAAGCCGATTTATGAGAGGAGATTGAGTGACTCCAGGGGGAGAGTGTCCAGAGGCCTGCTTCTGCTCTGGAGAGGGGATTCTGGCAGTGAGGACCTTGGGGCTGCCCGTGAACGGCTGTCCTGGCTCACCGGCCACCCACACAGACCCCACCCTCCTCACCGAAGACGAAGTTGTCCGGGCGGAAGATCTGCCCGAAGGGCCCCGAGCGAACAGAGTCCATGGTGCCCGGCTCCAGGTCCACCAGCACGGCTCGGGGCACGTACTTGCCACCTGGGGGCGGCAAGAAAGGTGTCAGCGTGGGAGACAGCAAGCGGATGGGGCGCGGGCGGGAGGGGGCCGGGCGGGGGCCTCACCGGTGGCCTCGTTGTAATACACGTTGATCCGCTCCAGCTGCAGGTCGCTGTCGCCATGATAGGTGCCGGTGGGGTCGATGCCATGCTCGTCGCTGATCACCTCCCAGAACTGCAAGAGACGCGGCGGGCGGGCCCCGGCGCGGGGCTGAGTCACGCCAGGCCGGTGCGCAGGGAGGCGGCCCTGCCCCGGACGG